GTATTGTCTTATCTAGTACTCTTGCAAATTAGTGCACTGGATGTGCATAGCTGCCAGTGCGATTACCACTTACTGTGGCGCGATCAGTAAAGCGAGAAACAAATCTTATTCAACATGTTTCACTTTTTTTTGGCCTGAGAATTTTATAAATGAATTTACGATTAGTCAACTCACGTCAGTAATTTAATTCTGTATCCTGAAAGGCAAGCTAGCCCGAAAGGCCAGGGTCTACAAATCGGCCACAGTGAAGTCGAAAGTATAATTTTGTGAAGTTCGCAACTCCTTGGATTCGCCATGCGTTTAACGAAAATATGAATTTTTATGTTTACTAGGAATGAGCTTTGAAAAGGTCACATTAAAAAAACTTGCAATAACGACCCGAAACCAAACAGTTTGTTTTCATTAAAAGAAGCATTTGAGGTCCCAGTCGAACACGGTCTGAGCTTCAGCTATTTTACAAGGCGTTGGTTGCGCTATATGGATTAATTGTAGCTCGATGGCTCGAAACAATTTACATGGATTTTTCGGAGCTGGAACACCATGACGCACACAGAGCATCCTTTCTTTTGGAGGAATTCCATGCTTCCTCCCTCCCCTTCTCGCGCCAGACCCGCTGGTACCGAAACAAGTTTTTAGAGACTACTTTGGCATCAGTGAGCCATACCGGTCCGAAGCAAATTTTGGATACTCTTGCCTGAAGACCTGTCTTTGTATTAGTGGGCAAGGCCGGGCCAAGGCGTTGCAAAAACGTACGTTGTTGAGGGGTTGTCTGTGTGTTCGTCTATGCCGATTTTTATGCATTTTTGCTGTGCAGCGCTGGTGCACGCATAAAAATCGGCATAGACGAACACACAGAGCGCTGCTACAACCAGCAAAAACGCATACTGTCGAGAGGCTGTGTGTGTTCGGAAAGCCAGTGCATTGTGTCACCCACTTTCATCTTAGCAACCAGGAAGTTAGGAGGCTTAAACTTTGGATGTATGTTCCTACCCCGTGTGTTATCCTCCTGTTTTAAGATTTTTCCCCATACGTGCCTAGACTCCGCGTTCGGGACCCCCAAAGAGATATGTTGGCGGGAAACAATTTCGCGAAACAGGTAAGGTAGAAAGCTGAAGCTTTGCAGGGATATCCTCTATGCACGTGCGAAATAAAAATTTGAAACTC